AAAAAATAATTAAAGATGGTAAAGGATGAACTGGTTAGAGAAACTTCATTTTAATATTTGCTTTGTAATAGTCATTTACTAAAATAACTAACATTTACCAAGTACCAACTATGATTGAGATAAAACAAAGATTATTAAGACTTTTTCTGTCCTCTAAGAACTCACAATATAGAAATAAGCAAGTATAAAATAATCATGGCACAAGGAATGACATTATAAATAACCAAAAAGAAGTCTTGAGAACTCCATTAAATCAAAGAAAAAAGACTATAGTCTTGTTTGTTGGAAGAACAATGAAAGAAGATGGCATTACCCTGAGTCTTGAGGAAGGGACAAAATTTCAACGAAGAGGGGGCAAGTGAAATTGAGAACACAGAGAAGATGGAGGAGGAGGTTCAAAGACGACACTTGCCTACCATGTGCCTAGATGCTGGTGTTATACAGTACCTCATGTAAATCTCACCACCTTAGGAAACTGGCATTATCTTTTCCATTTTGAAAATGGGAAATACGAGGCAAAAAGATTAAGGAATTTGCCAAATATCACATGGTTGTGAAGCGGGATTCAAATCTAGATCTGTCTGGTTCCAGAGCTCACATAGATCCCACTAGATAATATGCTAGCAACACGAGTGAAAGCAAAGCAAAGCAGCGAGCACACTCAGGCCTATTCTTTGAATTGTGAGCAGTCCAACTTGCCTAGCCCACTTCAGGGTAGGCAGCGGTGGGAGTAAGGTTGGGAAGCAGATCAGGCCCACAGCATGCAGGCCTTTAAATGCCAACACCATTAAGATCACTTCAGTAAATATAAATTGAACAGATATTCCCCAGCAATTGTGCTTGGTGGGAAGACAATTACAAGACAGCATGTTACTTGCAATTCCAGACGTGTATGTTCAAGTTTCAAAAGCAGTGGAGGAGAGGGGAAGAGGACATAATTAACACTGTCAATGGTCACTGAAGGAGAGTAACGGAAAATGTCAGCAAAGGTTTTCCAGAGATACTTCCTTGGCAGGTGTATTACCCTAAAGAAAGCAAAAGTTGTAGACTAAATACACAAAAACATGTTTAGCACTGCTGACATTTAGGACTCTCTGAAGTCTGTCTGCACACTCAAATTCCTGTTTATTTCTGAATCATAATTAAGTTAACATCATTAAGACAGGTAGGCTGAGTGTAACCCAGGTAAACAGTATGCAAACTGTACAGAAACCATGCTCAACCACCGGGGCTCAGATATCAGAACTGAGGGTACTCATGGTGTGCGTTAATTGAAAAAATAAATAAATAAATAACCCCTTTTGCCATTCTCACCAAGATGTACTGCCCTGGATCAAAAGAGAAAAAGGAAAACAAAAAATCAACTTGAAGAGTACCATCCTTGGAAATTACCGAAGTGGAAAAAAATTATGAGTGTAGCTTTTATGTAATTGGCATGTATGAGGGGAGGAGCAGGAGAGAATAGTCTGTTTAAACAAAACACTGATAGGAACTATACATTTATATAGTATTTACAGTATATAAGGGACTCACATATACTATCTCAGCTGAGTCTCAAAACAGCATCTGAAATTATTATCCTTATCTTTCTTACAGGTAAGGAAACCAAGGCTCAGGGGTATAGAATACACGCCTTGCAGTCCACAAGTATTACAGCATCTCTAATTCTAGGTCTAATACTCTTTGTGAAAGTCATGGGTAAACAGTACCAAATAAAGTGCCATAAATGACATCACCTTGTAATTTTTTAAGAGATGTCGTAACAGAAAACTAAATCCAATAAAATATCTGATTAATGCTTATGTTCATTCTGTGATGAAGACATACCAGTCTTCAAATTTTTCACCTGTAATACTTCTATAATAGAAGAAAAATAAACAAAGACATAGTAAAGGGCTACTAAGATAGTAAGAGAATATAAGACAGGCGAGGTGAAATTAAGAGGCAATAGTCCATACTTTAGGTACCTCTTAATGATTAATAAGAAAAGCTAATCTACTAAAAAATGATGTGAATAGCAAAAACAATGCCCCTAAAAACAAACCAAGGACTGCTAGAAAAAGGTATCAAAAATATTATGACCATCACTTAAGTTGGGTATTTCCTATTGCATTTTGGCAAGGTAGGTGAGACAGAATTTTAACATAAGAAATAGTAACAAAATATTGATAAAAGATCATATATATTTGTTTCTAGCTTTATATACTAGTATGTTCAATCAGTGATATGGCTAGAAATGAATGGATGAAATATTCGAATAAGAGAAAACCTACAATTATACAAATTTAGATAACATCAGTATCTAAAAATGGAAAAAGTGGTTTATTACCTGTTGGTAAACCCAGTGTAAAATATCTGTCCTGTCCGGGTTTGAACTGAATGATGCGATTACAGATGTATTTGGCTGCCCATTCACTAGCCAAGTCATAGTTATCAAGAATTACAAGCCTCATGGTGACGCACAGCTTCCAGGACAAAAAGTTCAAACCTGGGAAAATTCCATTGTAGAGCATTTTAAGTAATTTACAGACACTCAGACAGAAGTCTTAAATACTGATAATTTATAAAGGATATTATTTAAGAAGGACATGCACATATACAAAAACAGTCTCTATTTTAAGCATAGTAATCACAGCTGTTCTCTTTTGAGCAGACCTTGAGTTTCAGGCAGCGGGCTAAGTCAGGTAAGTACAGTTGGCCCTCTGTATCTGTGGGTTCCACATCCGCAATTTGACCAACCTTGGATCAAAAATATTCAGGGGGAAAAATGGATGGTTGAGTCTGTATTGAATATTTACAGACTTTCTTTTCTTGACATTATTCCCTAAACAATACAGTGTAGCAACTATTTATACAGCATTTACATCGCATTAGGTATTATAAGTAATACCTAGAGATGATTTCAAGTATACTGGAGGATGTAGGTTATATGCAAATACTATGCCATTCTGTATCAGGGACTTGAGCATCTGTGCATTTTAGTCCTGGAACCAGCATCCTGGAACCAATTTCTTATGGATACCCAGGGACAACTGTACATGTATTAATCCTTACAACAATCACGTGAAGCAAATAAAATGCCCAATTTTAGATGAGGAAATGGATTCACACAATTTGACTGAGATCTCATACCTAGGTAAGTGACAAAGCCAGAATTCAAATTAAGGCAATCTTAAGGCAACGTGATCATAATAGACAACTTTTAATAAGAAGAAAAAGAAAACAAAGTAAACTAAAAAACTGCTGATCTGGGGGGAAGGGAAGAGGGGATTTCTGCACAAAAAGCAATTTTAGCTCTTTAAAGAATACCCAAAGGTTAAGAAAAGTCATTATACAAACATTAAGAGATCAGAGTCATTTTAAAACCATGTAATTCAACTTTAGCCAATGTAGATTGACCTACTATCTTGAAAGATATAGAAATTAGCACTCTTACACTAACCTGCACCTGATTTCTGTAAGATATATTTTTATATTGTCAAGATTTATAACATTTATTCTGTCTTCCACAACCATAATTCACAGCTTTTAATTCTTAATTTTACATTTAAATGCATCAGTCACCAACACCAATCCTTGTATAACATGGCTTCCTCATTCCTGAGTTTTGTTACCCACACACTTTACCTAGAATAATAAGTCAAGTTTTTTAAATTATGGGAGTAGAAGGTCTTACTACAATGAATATATGGAATCCAACTGACGCCTTTAAAAACGTAATGATTTAGAATTCTGGCATAACAACAAAAAATTATGATCACCATGACCTAGAATTCTCAAAGAGTAACAAGAAGTAAGTAGCATTCACAGTCATACATGACTTACGTGACATACTAAGTCATATATTCAGTCCAACAAATGGCCTCAGCTTCCATTTAAATGTATCAATAATCTAATGTCAAAAAAAATTTCAGGGATACACTATGGAATCAGAAATAATTAGTCATGACTATCAAAAGATATATTTACTTCTAATAAGAATATTTGACAAATTGATTAATAAAAAGAAAAAAAAGCTATAAGGTAAGGAGGAAGAAGGGCATTAGAGTGTTTCATGTGTCTTCTGTGTCCTCTCAGTTCAACACACTCGTAAGGACCTATTATATCCTAAGCACTATGCTACGTTCTGTAGAAACAAAAATGACTAAGAGAAGGACTCTTATTATCAAAGAGCTTGGGATCACTTAATTTAACAGTCTCTGAAGTTGAAATTATCATCCTCGCTTTTCAGATATAGAAAACTGCAACTCTTCTACATGCCGAAGTTATAAAGCTCTTAAATGCCCCAGGGAGCTGGATTTAAACCTAAGTGCATCTGGCTCAAAGATTCTTGCTTCAAATACATCTTACTGGTTGAAAACCACTTAGCACACTTGTTAAAAACGTAGCCTCTCAGGTCCCTCTCCTTGGACATACAGTGTTTCAAGAGATCTGAAATGAAGTCCAGGGAATTTGTACTTTCGTAAATGTCAACAGGTGATTCTTACAACCTGGTTAAACTCGGAAAAGAACACCATACACTTCAAGGCAAAGAAAGATGTTCAAAGAAGTATCTCAGACCAAGGTACAGCCAAGTTTTTGCTTTTTAAAACTTTTTGGAGGGCACGGAGTTCACCGCCAAAAGTCCCAAATGGATTCCCTCACTAAGAGGAAAGAAGAAGGTCTTTCCCACATTTATTCAGCTTCTTAAGATGTGCCTTTTGCAGTTTTTGCCAATCATCAGAACTCCAAACTGCCGTGGCCTTACTCAGTTCTCTGGCATCATGACCCGACAGCATGAAAAACGACACGGCATCTTCCCTCGGGTGCTGATTCATTTGCGGAGGCGCATCGCTGGGGGAAAGCGCCGCTGAACACCCATCTCAGAACTTCAGAGCTGGATGGCAACTTCTATCCCGCTTAAGCTACAGTTAGTGGCAGGGTCAGGATCAAAATCCTGACCCCCAGAGTCTCTGATCTGAGCTTCTCCCTACCCCTGACCTAAAGGGCCAGGGTGGCCTGGCCGCGCGCGGGACCGGTCCCCGCGAGGGATGCAGAAGCAGCAGAGAAGGCGGCGGTTCCTGCCGGAAGGCAGGGGAGCTGCTCGCCGGGCGCTCCTTCCGCAAACTACAGAGAACGCAAACGAGGATGAATGCTACGAATTTTTAACAGGTGTGGGGAGAGGTGTCGCGAGAAAGCCGCGAGAGGAGGGCACGGGGAAGCCGCCCCCGGAGACTCAACTGCAGAGAGGACTGGCCAGGGTTGAGACGGTCAAGGCCGGGACCCCACGCGCCGCTCGCCACGAGGTTCCCGGAACCCCAACCCAGGCCTGGGCCCGGCGTCCCCTTTTCCGCACAAAGACCCCGCAGGGGACAATCGCCAGCCGGAGCCACGCCCCAGTCCCTTCCTTGGGCTGCCCCTCTAAACTCACCGGCACACCCACCGGCTCTTCCGACACAGGCACGACCGGAACAACCAACACCCAGCCCACCCGCGAGCGACCCGGGCCGGCGCACGGAGCGCGAAACGCAACGACCCGGATGCAGACGGAAGCGCGGAGAGGAACAGCGCGCGGCCCGCGGACGCCACGCATGCGCGCTGCCGCCGGCGCGTCTGAGGTAAAATACGAAGATGCCGGTCTGCGCTCCCTGTGGTAGGGCTCTTCCTGCCTAGCGGTTCCCAGTTCCCGTGGAACAGGACCTGGCCGCTACTTTTTTCCCCATCCCTGAGGGGTTCAATCGCAGTAGGTTCTCCAGGTTTGTGAGATTTCGCATGTAGGACCGCAGCGCGCACACACAGTTGTTGCGTATGATGGCAATAGGAATGCGTCTGTCTCCCCCAAATTATTTTACCCCAAGCAAAATGAGACCTAAGTCCTCTGTATCAAAGCTCGTCAAAATTAAGTTTGCAGAAAGGCAACCAAGTTTAAAATAGAGTGCTGTTTCATGCGCTGAATGAGACGCTAAGAAAGGGCAGGGGGAGCGGGTATCGCGGATCTGGGTCCGCAAACGAGGGGGCAGGGAACGGGGCTGGGGAAGTTAGTAAGAAAGAAAGAACCGCTCGAAAGGAGAAGGGCTCTGAATCCTCACCATATCCCGTTAGAAACTCTTTTTAGGGTTCTGTTAGAAACAGTGCTCTTGACTACTAGCGTGGGGTCGCTGTTTCTTTTGGAAACCACACAGTTAAGATGAATGTGAACTATGACGCCCTCAAACTCTGCGAAGTTCTGCACCCGGACTGCAAGCCCAGGCTGCTTCTCTGGGTAAAACGTCCCCGCTCCTTGCTTAATCCTGTAGGCAAGAGTGGGACGTTCCATTTTCATCGACAGCGCTTCCAACAGCAGCGTTTCTCCTGCGTCGACAGAGGACGCGTTTTCTTATTACGATAGCCTTGAGTTAGTTTGCAAAGCCGTTTTTGACACCTTCCCAGTACTATCATTTGTCATCTGACAATTGTTTATTGTGCGTCTATTTTGGTCAGATAAACCTGCAAGTAATAAAAGAGCTTTGGAGGGAATATTTTCGGAGCATAGACAGACATTTGTGAAATGTGTTCTTTCCCAGTGGTTTTACTTCCGTATGTGTTTCTGACACTATAAAAATCACTTCTGACCATGCCGTGAATATTGACTGGGGTTGAGTCTGTCTTAATTGCACCATATCACGTCCTGCCGTCTCTTTTCTCAAGTTGGTGTTTCTCACCTCTTTTTGTGCCCCATCTGCCATGGTCTTTGTAGCAAGACTACAGCAAAAGTTACTATAGTCAAAAGCAAAATCTTTAATACTAGACAGAAAAAAATTGTTTTTGACACGTGCAGGGACATGTAAGCTGAGTCATTGATTTGACCATTCAATATTGGCCGAGAGCACTTAGGGTCTTGGTAAATATTGAGTGAATAGTGTGCCAGACACCAGCGTGAGTAAAACAGGCACAGAGCCCTTCCCTCAGCGAACTGAAAGGATTGTGACAAGACAGATATAAATCACTACCACCACCCCATCACTCGGTAAATCCTAATAATGCAAAGTAGTCTCAGTCATGACACTTTGAGACATGTCTTTATGTTTGGGATAAACCTGAACATAGAAAATACTGTGTCTTGTCTTCCAAATAAAGATTCAAGAAATGGAAAGCTTAAACAGAAATGTCCTCTGAACCAAGGTTTTGGTTGAAGAGTTTGGTAGAAAAGTTTTAATAGGCTATAATCCAGAGAAGTGACAGAATTTTGGTCACATAGGAGTGGTAAAGTATAGATGGCTATGTAGGTGACAGGAGAGAAACATCAGAGAGTAACCATACCCTATTATCCTGAGTAGCCTGCAGTTATCTAACAGAGAGCCTGGAGTTATCTGACATAGAGCCTGAAGTGGTGTTTCAGTCAATACGCATCATACTAATGAGCTAATGGACAAATGCTGTGTCATCAGATACCAGTGGGGATTTATAATGAAGACAAATACCACACGGGATGAAATACCGATCCATTGCAGTGGATGTC